AGGGCGGCCAGAGCAGCCGGGCTTTGCCTTCCTGGCGCGCAGCCGCCAACAGACTGGCCCGGAGGGAGCCGAGGCGTTTCTACAGAGCTGAACAGCGACTTAGCAGGTCCTCGCCTGGCCCAGGCCCCGGCTGCCGGCCCTTCAGGGTAGGCCCGGTCAGGAAAAGGCGCTGCAGGAGCTCCTGGAGCTCTCCTCGTGGTTGTAGGGTGCAGTCGCAGAACCTGAAAGCCTGGCAGAGTCTCCCTGGGCCCCCTCTTAAGGTGGAGTTATTTTGAGTGTTGGACTAGGCTGTCCTTTCCGTTCTCTCTCATGATTTATTTATTTATTCATTGGATACGGAGGCTCCAGAATGACTCTGGACAGCTTACCATCTACAATAAAAAAAGCAGTAAAGCTATTATCTCTTAACGGATTCTTGCATTCCTTCATCAACTTTATCTCTGCTTTCCTCTACACCGACAAGTTGAAAGTGAATGGGACAAATATTTCCTCTGCTGATTGCAGGCAAGCAAGGGAGCCCGAAGCGAAGCGCTAGAAGCGCTAACAATGCATGCAGCTCGTTGTCTGAACATCCACTAGAATCATCTTTAGTGAAGAGCCATTTAGTGATCCATCTGGAGGATTAGCATTTAAATCTGTTATAATCAGCAATTTGCAGAGCTTTGGGAATGTTGCTGAGAGCCGGGCCAGACCCACAGAAGCTCTTTGCAGCAGGTTGCTTGGTTGATAGGCTGGCTGAGACAGTCATTTCCCTGTGGAAAGAAACAGATGTGCTTTTTCTTTCACAAACTGGGAAAGGCTGCCTGCCCAGAATAAGAAAATAAGCAACAAAATTCTATTTGTTTGCCTCCTTGGGGATTCCGCAGAAAGCAATCTTGGTCCGAGTAGGCTCACATGAACCCTTGTTCTTACATCTCCAACATTGTCCTTGAAAACTAGTTTTTAATGATGGATTTCTCTGCCTCGTTGCTCGTATGGTGCTTAACTTTTGCTCTGCCCCCGGGTCACGTTATGATGAAGTTGGTTATTAAACTGTTCAGGCATTTTGGACTGCCAGAATGTGGCTCTCCTTCAACCCTTGACAGGGGTGGCTTACGCCCTGAAGGAAGAGGTTTTTATATCCTCTTAGTTCCTATTTCATTCTGGCTTTCATGGATCCCTGTTGCGTAACATGGGAACTTTGTATATGCAGTAACGTTCTTGCCGACCTTGTAGCTGGGGGATTTGGAGGTGACAGTTCATTACAAAATCCACGTGGCTGAAAACAGTCTAAGAGCCCAGTCAGCTCCTTGCCAGCACCATTGTGTTGAAGTTTGCTTCAAGGGTGGGAATTATAAATAGGACAGATTTCCCTAGGAACTTCAGTCTTTCTCAGTGTGTGCCCTCCAGCTGTGTTTTACAATAACTAACGACAGAAACTGAAACTCTAGCACTCCTGTAGGGGCGTTATTAGCAAAGATTGGGCAACACAACAGGATCACCCTTTGGGGTGGAGTGAGGGAGAAAGAGAAAAATGGAATGTGTCTGTGCTGTGGACTTCAAATTTACACCAGTTGCAAAAACACGACGTTTGGAGCTTCCATGGGTTGGCGCTGGCATGCTCTGTTCATCTAGCAGAAATGGGGATTCTTTCTTGGGGCAGTTCTGTTTCGGTGGGATGTTCTTCCCCTTCTCGGAAAAAGAAAAAGAGGACTCTGGATCCTGGTTTCTCTGCTGCTCTTGTTCTCACAACATGCTAAGCTAGGCTAAAATGCAGTTGGATCGTCCAGTTCAGGGTTTTACGGGAAGCCATCTGTTAACTTAGCAAGTTGTGTGAACCAGGCCCTCATCAGTCAGTTTGATTTCCTTGTTCAGGGCAAAGCGTGTTATGCAAGTGTGTTTTGTAGTGTGAGTTTAGGACTTGCATGTAGTGTGAACTCACCCGTTGTGGGACACCGCTCCTCTGCCTTAGTAGTCTCCAAGGAGAGGAATTGTAGCCCTTTTTCTCTGCATGTGTGGACACCCTCTGCTTTGTTACCTCCTGGAGCCTAAAGGGAGCTTCAAGCTGTTCTTTTTACAGCTCTCCTTCTTTCTTTCCCTCACAGCGAAGGACTACGAGAATGCAGTCAAGTATTACACCCAGGCCATTGAACTGAACCCCACCAATGCCATCTATTATGCCAACCGCAGTCTGGCCTACCTGCGGACGGAATGCTATGGCTACGCCCTGGCAGATGCCACAAAGTCCATCGACTTGGACAAAAAATACATCAAAGGCTATTACCGCCGAGCGACCAGCAACATGGCCTTGGGGAAGTTCAAAGCAGCCTTGCGGGACTACGAGACGGTAAGCGAGTGATGTGGGGAGAGGGCAGGAAGGGGGGCAGCAAGAAGGGGTTAGACGCAGGGTGGAATTTATCAAGGCCTACCCTCCTACTTTTTCTCCCCTATCCCACTTCACCCCAGGTTGTGAAGGTGAAGCCAAACGATAAGGATGCCAAGATGAAGTACCAGGAGTGCCACAAGATTGTGAAGCAGAAAGCGTTTGAGCGAGCCATTGCCAGTGATGAGCACAAGCGATCGGTGGTCGACTCCCTGGACATAGAGAACATGAGTGAGTGGAGGCAGGAGAGGGGGCCGGTGTCCTTGGGAAACTCAGCAGGGCCCCATGGCCCAAGCCCCTGCAATTGCCTCTTTCCAAAGGCCTTTGGGGCTGCTAGCGAGGACATCCGGTCCCACCTGCCCCAAGAGCGAAAAGGAGAGGAGGCGGAGGGCCCAGTCATCCAGCCTCCCTGAATGGGGGCGTAGGGTATCACGCATGGCTCTCAGACTTCCTCTGCTGTGAAGGCTCCTTCGCTGTTGACCTAATTCTGGAGGGACTTCTGCCCAGGTGCTAGGAAACTCCTGCTTCTGCAGAAAACTCTGAGTCAGTCGGGTTCCAGGCTGTTTACACAGAGCCTTCAGCCTCCGTTGCATTCTGCCCGCTCTAGGAAATAGCCACTCCCTGTTTATTTGAAAAATCCAGTATTCTCCTGAGTGCTGCCTGAAAGAGGGATGTAAATTCTCTGAGTGAAGAAAAATATCCATTGGGGGAAAGCTGTCATAAAGGCCCTAAGGGAAGATTGCAAGCTGGTTACAGTTTGGGGGCGGGGGGACATTGGGGACTGCACTTGGCCTTAAGGACAAACGTGGGCCGACAGAATGAAGTTGGATTACTTTTTATTATTAATCTCCCTAAATCTGTCATTAGTGCTTCTTGCCATTTATAGATTAAAAATTAGAAATTGGTAGCATGGGAGGGAGGGGGGGAGAGATTCATGCTTTCAGGGTCCTACATAGTCACGTGGAGTCAGGTGATGCACCTCAACCAGAAATCAAGATGGGAAGCCAGTGGGGCACTCTCCTGCGTCTGTTCTGGGGTTTGGGCCGTTGTTTTAAGCTGCTTAGTGCCTGGCTGGCTGCGCCCCCTCAGGTTCCCTCAGAGACTGCTGATGCTCTGGCTTGGAAATGGAGAGAGGGGGTCTGAGCCTCCCCCGTGCTCTCCCAGCATCAGCCCTTTCCAGGGGGAGCCTGACGGCCTCATGCCAATGAGTAATGCTCTCTCACACGGGTCGTTGCGCCAGGGCTTCCTGCTTCCTGCTCGGGCCCAAAATAGACCAGAATCTTGGATCGTAAATAGATCTTCGTATGGAGAAGTTTAATCAGTAAAAATAAATAGACTGTTGCTTGCAGTGGGACAGCTGCTACAACAGCCAGATCTCTTAATCTTTTGGCGTCTGGACTGAGCAGCTGTACAGTGGCATCCGGTGGGTCCACAGTTCTGAATTTAAATGTCCTGCAAGCCACAGCTCTTCCCAACCCACCTATTCCTTAAAAGAAAGCTGGACAGCAAATGCAGGGAGAAGAATTCCCATAGGTTGAGATCGGCAGCTCAGCCGAATTTCCAGAAGAGCAGCTGCACACATCTTAACTCCAGGAAGGGCATCTTGGCATGTCTGCTAAGTGTCGCAGGAGCAGCCTGTCCTGAAATCCTTGTGTGCCCCCACCTGTAGTCCGCTTCCATCCCCAGCAGGTGATTTGGGGGCTTTGCCCACAGCTGAAAAGACGGCAGCAGGGTCTTTTTTTTTTACCAATCAGGAGGGTCTTTGGTGAGAAGATTGGGAGTGCAGAGGGCTCGCTTCTCTGAGACACAGCTGACCCAGCTCGGCTGCCATTGACAGCTGCCGAAAAGAACAGGGTGCTTTCTCAGTTCACCCAGATTCCTCCACGGAGGAGTGGGAGATTTGAAAGTTCTTCAGTGACTGTCTTAGTCACTGAAAGTTTTGAAGTTTAAAGCAGGGCTGTGAGGCTGCACACAGGCTGCACGCCATCCTTCCACCCTCCTGTTCTAGCATCCTTGGCCTTCCCACTATAGATCATGCTGCTAAAATGTGGTGGCAGTGTGTCAGTTTCTGGCCCCCTCTTTTTTTTTTCCCCCCCTCCCTCCGGTCAGTGATAGAACTGCTGTGCCCCTTCTTTGACCCGCAGCATCAGAAAATTAATAAGAAACTGAAAGGGCAGCGCCTGACTGGGGAGAAGTTGCCCCAGCTGCGCTGAGGAATAAAGCGCCGGGCCTGGTTCCTGTTCCGCCATGGAAGGAGAGATCCAGAAATGTCCTGCTTCTCCCCAGCGTAGCCGTGGCGGCTGCTCTGCCCATCTCAGTCCTCCTGTCCTATTTTCCTCAGCTATCGAGGACGAGTACAGTGGCCCGAAACTAGAGAATGGGAAGGTGACCTTGGAATTCATGAAGGAACTGATGCAGTGGTACAGGGAGCAGAAGAAGCTCCACAGGAAATGTGCATATCAGGTAACTGCCCTGCCCTTCCCCATCCCTTATATGCAGTCACATGATGGAAAGGCTGGATTCAGAGCAGGGAGAGAGCCCCGAGGCTGTTCCTTGTAATGGTACATTGCTTTAAGTAACCTGGATGGCAGGGGGTCTGACACAGGAGCATATCTGGCGGCCTGCAGAGAGGGGAGGTTTCCATCCATTGTTTTTTCTAGCATCCCAGAGCTCACCCGTCCAGCTTCTCCACAGCTTGGGAGCGAAGACAAGACGGGACAGTCTGAAGCATTTGTGTAAAGCCATTGTTTGTCTGGCCTGCGGAAGGGTTGTGTGGTTGAAAAGATGAGGGTAAAACTGTGGAAAGAGCAGATCTAAAGGTTTTATGATTTCTCAGATTCCTAGTATCAGGCACACCTTCCTTCTCAAGATGTCAGCTGCAGGAATTGCACGCATTTAACAGACAGGGCAGCCTAATTTGTCCAATGGAGGAAGATCAATTGAGGGGAAACAAGTTATTCTGGGGGGGGGAACTTTCAACCCTCTTTCGTTGGTCTTTAAAGTGCTATCAAGCTTTGGGGTGGGGGATGTTAAGGTTGTCCATGGTCCTAAACGTTGGAAATGTCTTGTCTTTGTTTTAAAATATTGGTAAAAGATTTGAGCGCTTCCCTGAATCTGAGCTGACCCGGAGAGTGGATTATTGGAAAAGGCCTCATTCTCCACCCGGGTTGTTGCATTCCTCTTTCCTCCCTGCCTGCTTGTCAGCAGCCCCTCTTTTTTCCCTCCTGCAGATCTTGGTGCAAGTGAAAGAGGTTCTGTCTAAGCTCCCCACCCTTGTAGAAACCACGTTAAAAGAGGTAAGGGTGTCTTTCTACCTGGGGTAGTTGTGTGTTTTCCTTATGCTGGCTGGGGAATTCTGGGAGTTGAAGTCCACCCATCTTAAAGTTGCCAAAGTTGAGACACCCTGCTCTAGTCACTCTCAGATTACATATGCCCTGACAGAAACTTGCCTTTTTCTGGTGTGAAAGTGGCACCTCCAAGTTATTCCCCCACCCCACCCCCAGGTCCTTTTCATTTTGTTCCGCTGGTGCATCGCAGTTCAACCTGTTTCCTTTGAGCTTGTGTATCTGTTTAACAGGCCCATCCTGTCAAGGGTCGTCTAGTTCCCAGCGCTAATGAGAAATAATTTTGTGATCAGTCTAGGAGCCCCTGAGGAATTCATTAACCTCTTTGGAGGTGGGGGTGGGGGTGGAGGTAGCAGGACTGTGCAATTAGGTGAGGTGGATTTGTGTCACCACCACGCACGTGCACTTGCTGAGCCTTGCTCAGGTTATATAGCTCGTATCCTGAGTTTGTCCCAATTCTGTGGATTTCTTATCTCTCTAAAAACGTCTGGGGTCATTTGTATCTGACAAGGCAGAGCAAAGCCTTTTGATGTCCGGTTGAAAGCACCAAAGAGGATTTTCCTGGGTCCCCTTATGAATTAGCTTGGGGCACAAGGTCTCTTGTGATTTATTTAGTATCCTGGGATGGTGATAAATGCTCATATCTGACTCATCTTTATGACCTCTGCTGTCTCTCTCTCTGTCTTCCTTTCTCTCCTTTGATCTAGACAGAGAAAATTACTGTCTGTGGAGACACCCATGGGCAGTATTATGACCTTCTGAATATATTTGAGTTGAATGGGCTGCCGTCGGAAAATAATCCATATGTATCTTTTGATGGCACTTCTCTGGGTTGCTGTAGGCTCTGCTGATCTGCTTCTCCTTGGAGAAGGGAGCTCCTGTTTAGGTTCTGGGCCAGCTGTAGTTCAGTCCGAGCCTGAACAGGATTCCTTTCTTCCTGTTGTCTTCTCAAGCCAGGACCTAGGAGAGATGGGGCCAGCTGAAGCTATCTCTGCACCCCATTGGCTGTGAACCTCTGGGGTTCTGCTGGGCAGTGCCCTGGGATCGTCAGACACGCTTGGGTTTTGCGTTGTGACATTCTTACAGAGGGAGGCTTCTTGAAACCAGTTGGGGACCAAGTATTTCATAGAAGCTAGAGCAGTGTTCTTCAAACTTGGCCACTTTAAGATGGGTGGACTTCAATGCCCAGAATTCCCCAGCTAGCATGGCTGACTGGGGAATTCTGGGAGTTGAAGTCCACCCATCTTAAAGTAGCCAAGTTTGAAAAAAACTGAGCTAGAGGATTCTGCAAGACTTCTTCAGAGTCTTTCTAGAATGCAGGGTAGCTGGAATTTCTAAAAGTTCAACTGGCTGGTTTTTGCAATTGCTCGTTCAGTTTCCCCGAAGTGGCTGGCATTAACTCGGCAGCGTCTAGCTGTCCGTCCTCTCGGCCTGGTTTCATCCTTTGGCTTCCCTTAAGCTTGATTTCCTTCCCAACAACTCTGGGATGTTGCAGAATGCAGAATGTTTTTTGAGCGGAGGGGGGGGATAAGAAGGAGCCTCCTGAGGCAGGAGCGTGGGTGCAGAGAAGCTGGTGGAATGGGAGGGGAGGAAAAGAACTGGGTTTCCTAAAGTAGACTGTGTTTTTTTCTTGAGCAAGCCCCCCCTCAGATATTCAATGGGGATTTTGTTGACCGTGGTTCCTTCTCCGTGGAGGTGATACTAACCCTCTTTGGTTTCAAGCTGCTATATCCAGATCATTTCCACTTACTCCGAGGTAAGCATCTGATTTTCCAAATATTTGCAGGTAAAGGAAGGGCAGGATGGCAGGCTGGCCGCTCCCAGGCAGCCGCGTGCTTGCTTTCGACGTTGTGCTGTTTGTTCATTCATTCGTTCGATTTGTATAGCCACCCATCTTGCCATACCAACTCTGGGGGGCTAACGTCATATAGAAACACAATCCAAATAAATATAAAAAACAACAGTATTTTGTTGGTCCCTCTCAAGCCCTTTCAAAAAAACCCCACCCCACTCTGGCTATTGCCATCTTAGGTCCTGATGGATGACAGGAGAAGTTTTCCCCAACAGCATTTTATGGCAAGACTTTAGTGCTATGTATAAGCATTTGTATCTGGACGGTTGAGCATGACGCTTGTACCTTCCCCTTGAGATTGTGTTTCTCTCTAGGTCTAGATCAGTGTTTCCTAGCCTTGGGGACTTTCAGATGGGTGGACTTCAACTCCCAGAATTCCCCAGCCAGCCATGGGGAAGTCCATGAAGTCCACCCATCTGAAAGTCCCCAAGATTGGGAAACACTGATCTAGATAGTGACCTGGCCCTTATGCCATGCTGTGGTTTATTGAATATATCTCCTTGGGCAAGGCTGATACCCTTCATCTAAACCATAAACCAGGATAAGCAAATCTCCCTGACCAAGTTGCTATTGTCATACCAGAACCAAACAACCCAGGTGAGCGTATCCCCAGTGATCATGGTTCACATCTTTCAGGCTTGCTTTGAACCAAAACAGGGGTGTAAAATGTCTCCTGAATAGTTATGCTACCACCTTGCAATTGCTTGAAATGAGAAGATGTTCTAAATCAACTTTCCTCAGCCTAGTGCCTTCCAGATGAGTTTCAAGCCTTATCACCCCTGACAACCGGTGTAGAGGAGCAGCTCGGGGGTTGCTGAGAGATGCCATCCAAGAACCCACCAGAAGGACCCTGAGCTGAGAAGCTGCCCAGAGCGTCTTCATCACAGGGCTGGCCCCAATCAGCCATCTTTCAGCTGGGAGGGGAGGGGAGGGGAGGGATCCTCCTGATGTTTAAGGCCATAGGTCCTTAAGTCTTGCTCAGCATAGCTGGCAGGGTTAAGGATTACAGTGTTGGAGACCAACCAATTTAGAGGACCCTAGGTAGCATTGTCCACTTGCTCAGCCAGCAGTCTCCGCTTGAGGGAGCCACAGCTACCTGGGCTGCTTTTAGGGGTATTGGGGGGGTGTGTTGAGCCTATTTATTTATACAGATTATTAACTACCCCAGTTGACTCAGGTGAGCTAATGTGTATCCCCAATCGCTGCTCAACGCAACACCGGAGCACTCCATGTGTGCGAGGAAGCAGGGCCCCCTCAAGTTGGCCCCTGCCTGTCCCAACCTTATTTGGGCATGAAAGTTCCTTTGGCTGGAAAATGCAAGCCTGTGCGACAACCGCTTTGGGTTGGATGTTTCATGCCTCCCGATTCCTCCCACCCTTTAGGGAACCATGAAACGGACAACATGAATCAGATCTACGGGTTCGAAGGCGAGGTCAAAGCCAAGTACACGGCTCAGATGTTTGAGCTCTTCAGTGAAGTCTTTGAATGGCTGCCCTTGGTGCAGTGCATCAACGGCAAAGTTTTGGTAAGGAGGCTGTGGGGCTGGCTTGGGCTTGACGGACAGGGCCGGGGTGTCCAGGAAGCATAAAAAAAGTCAAGATAGCGGTTGTGACCCCGTGGTTGAAGCCTGTGGGATACTTTGGGTTGTGGCCACCTTATCTGATTTTGGTGATCCTGCCCCCCTGAGGTTCTTCAGACACCCCAGTCTGGCTCAGACTGATCCCAGCTCCCCCCCACCAGATAATGCATGGTGGACTCTTCAGTGAAGACGGCGTCATGTTAGACGATATAAGGAAGATTGAGAGGAATCGTCAGCCTCCAGACTCAGGTGAGCGAAAGGCGCGGCGGGGGAGTTCCAGGGACGTATGATCGCCTCGGGTGTCTAGCTGGATAGGGAGCTCCCTGCTCTCGTGGGGCTCCCATTTGCCTGAATAAGCACACCTTTGCTGGACTTTCCCCAACCAACCACCTTCCAGACCCTTTGGGCTGCGGCTTCCACGTTGCATGACCATCATGGCTGATGGTCTGGTGGTCTGAGATCTCTGGAGGTGGAGGAAGCCGCTAAACTTTATCCCAGGTGGTTTTTATGGGTGCATATATACCCCCCTATTTGGGACTTTACCTCCTGGTCCTTTAGCAGAAGGTTAGGAATGCCAAAATATCTCAGATGGCCTGGCCTAGCAGTGAAATGTGCCAGGGTTGCGGGGAGAATCATATCTGCCCATGGAGGCTGCTGGTGAAGACAGGCAGATTGGCATCCTGAGTTCTGGTCGATGGGCAAAAACCAAGTGAGATTTAGCCAAATGTTTGGTCTTGTCAATTTTGTGTTTCCTGCCTTCCTTGTTCTCCTCACTTGACCTCTTGTCTTCTCTTGGGCAGGTCCCATGTGTGACTTGCTCTGGTCAGACCCCCAACCCCAGGTGAGTCCGGCTTTGGCACTCCTGGTGCCCTTCAACTTAGGATTCAGCTTTTAGCATCATCCAAGCCCCAACTCACCCCTGGAATCCTGGCCTGGCGTTGCACACGCGTGGTCTTCGAATCAGCTGTTCTCCCTCCCCAAGCTCCTGATTCTCCAAGATTGGATGTGGTTCTTTCTTCAGCTGCCATTAATTGAAAATCCCCCTCCCCTTCTCTTGGATCCCTGCGCCTGGCTTTCCACAACGCACCAATCCCTGATGGAATGGGGTTGGCGGGTTTGTGGGTCAGCATGCTGGGAGAAGTGCAGCTATTGTTGTAGCAACTTCCTGTGTGAACCAGGCTGTGATTCTAAACTATGGTCAGTACATTCAGGCCCTGCATGTTTGAGGAACAAAGAAATGGTGTTTATTAAGTGGGTTTCAGGTTTTAGTATGTTCTGTGAACCCAGCCAACGTGTTGCAAATAGGAAAATGCTGTGTAGGCAAGTGCTCACGAGGAAAATAGTTCTGGTTGGTAGGGATGTTCATAGAGCTGCAGGCTCCTTACAGGGAGGGGAAAAACCATCGAAAACAACATCCTCCCCTCCCCCCAGTTTTAAGAGGAGGACAGAATTGAGATAAAGCCTCATCGAAGTACGGAAGCCGCATCTCCATCCATCCGCCTCTGGGTACTTTGTCCACCGTTGTAGAGAGTAAGGAAGATGGTCGTGATGGAGATATGCAGGTGCTGTTTAGGCAAAGGGGGCTGAAGCAGTTTTAGGCCCACAACCCCCAGATAACAGCTCAGCCACAGTCCAGAAGCAGCTCAGATGCCTCCCTGATTTACTGAAGGAGGAGGAGGAGGAGGTCCAGCACAATCAGGGTTGCAAGATTCTGTTGTTATAGCTGTCTTTGACCAAACAGGAGCTCCCCTTGTTTCTCTCTCTCAGAACGGCCGGTCAGTCAGCAAGCGGGGCGTGAGCTGTCAGTTTGGGCCTGATGTCACCAAGAGTTTCCTGGAGCGCAACCATTTAGACTACATCATTCGCAGCCATGAGGTGAAGCCTGAGGGCTACGAGGTGGCTCACGATGGGAAGTGTGTCACTGTCTTCTCGGCCCCCAACTACTGGTGAGTCCGGGAGGGAGTTGGGGAGACCCCCGCGAATGGATTCTGTAGGAGGAAAGTTAGACCCATGGTAGCCAGAAATCAAGAGGAGTTGGGAAGCCCCTTTTCCATCCCTTAAATTTTATTCACATTTTTTTATTTTCATAAATGGATTGACATTGAGACCTTTAAGTGAGGATCTCTTGCAAAATCATCATTAGCACCTTCGCTGATTAGCTGAATGCCCTTCCCCGGAAGGGGAAGGAAAAAACCCGCTCCCAGCATGTAGAAACTTAGCCTCTCAGTGGAGTTCTAGCTCTGCATTTGCCCTGAGATGTTGTTTTTTTTTAATCTGCAAGGGGGTGATTTTATTTAAATGGAACAGGGCTGGCTTGCCTTCTCATCCACCCTTGGCCATGCTGTCGACTGCTAAGGGCAGCTGGCATTTTGTGCCATTTGCTGCTGGGGAAGGGGGGTTATGTAATGCCCCCCCTTACACAAAGGAACGGCAACGGGACCTGCTTCCTACCCCAGAGCCGGTCGGCTGTATCAGCAGGAACTGTCTCAAACCCAGGTCTCTCCTAAGGAGCGCTGCACGTCCTGGGAGCGAAGCGGGGAGCGTAGTGAACCCCTGCGATCCAGCTCCTCCCGGAAAGAGCCGCTTCCCACTCTCCCTGCTCCTCTGGCTGCTTTGAGAACAGCTGGGCCAACCTCCTTTTTCCGTCCCTCTTTTGCTAGTGACCAAATGGGTAATAAAGGGGCCTACATCCATTTGCAAGGCTGGGACCTGCGGCCAGAGTTCCACCAGTTCACAGCAGTGGTGAGTCCTTGCTCGTGGGGCGAGGCGGGGGCCTCGCGCTCCGCCTTCCCTCCCCTGGGCTCTGTGATCCGGGCGAGGCTCCCTGGGAGGAGAAGGCGGGTGGATTCACTGAGGTTTCCTTCCTTCCCCAGCCTCATCCGAACATTAAGCCAATGGTTTATGCCAACTCGCTGCTGCAGCTGGGAATGATGTAAGCTGCCTTCCACCACTGCTGACCGGCCCCCTCCCAGCCCGCCTGGAAGTCCACACACTGGGCAGGGACAGTGATTTTGTTCTGTTTCCCCCCCCCTTTTTTTTTTTAACATTTCTCCCAACATCAGCCTTCACTACGAAGCAGGATTGTGTTGCAGGCAGGGGGACGGGGCAGGGCGGGGCAGCCAAGGGGCAGCGGAGGCGCTGAGAAGTCCGTGGCAG